TGCCATAGATTTCACAGGGATGGGGAAAGGTGAAGCATGGGTTAATGGTGAAAGCATTGGACGGTATTGGCCAGCATATACTGCTTCAACCACCGGAGCTTGCACCAATTCTTGTAACTACAAGGGACATTACGACGACCGAAAATGCCTCAAGGATTGTGGAAAGCCATCTCAGACATTGTAAAGTTTTAAATTTTACAATAAAACATCATATTATGCTTCACTAGAAACCGTTAAGAATGTTTCTCGCCAACTCTGTATTAGTATGATATTGTCTGTTTTGGACCAAATCTTCACGGATTTGTTTCTGGGCACCTTTCAAAATGCCTCATACTAATGGAGTTGGGTGAACGCTTATTCCAACATGACAGTTGATTTGCTTCCCAACAAAAATTTATCACTAACCAAATTTGGACAAATTCTGCAGTTACCATGTTCCTCGTTCGTGGCTAAAACCAAGTGGAAACGTTCTTGTTTTATTTGAGGAAACGGGTGGGGATCCAACACGGACATCATTTGCAACTAGAGAGGTCGTGAGTGTATGCTCAAGAATTTCCGAGTCTCATCCGACCCCTATAGACACGTGGGCGATCTCTTCAGACGCGCGAAAGCAAGCGGGGCCCACCATGTCTCTCGAGTGCCCTCATCCTGACCAGCTCATTTCTTCCATCAAGTTTGCAAGCTTTGGGACCCCTCATGGGACATGTGGAAGTTATAGCCATGGGAAATGCAGCAGCAACAATGCTCTTTCCATTCTACAAGAGGTTAAACATAAGACCCCAACACTTCTTTTACTATCACTAGTTGTTTATTCTCACTTTTGAATGATTGTTACTAACTTAGAGTTCACTTTTTAAACAATTTAATCACAGGCTTGCCTTGGATCAAGAAGCTGCAGTGTTGGTGTGTCAATCAGTACATTTGGCGACCCGTGCGCGGGAGTTACAAAGAGTTTAGCTGTTGAAGCGTCGTGTACATGAATGTCAATACACATAGTACAACACATAGAAGTTTAGTATCTCTTCTCCAAGTAAAGCTCATATACCAATCTTTGGCTCTTCACTTTAATTTTATATATGAAAGTGTAAAAGAATACTGAACTTATGAATCACAAATAAGAATAATGCATGATTCAAGAAAGGAAGCTCTTTAAAATGGTGTATAACACTAGTTTTGGGTGTATATTATGACACCGGGGTTTCTATAGTGTTGTTGGATATATTTCTAGGGAGTAAGAAAATATTGTAGAGCTCCAAATAATGACTCAATGTCATATTATAGCATCTAAGGTGGGTGTCAAAAGATTTTTTCCTTGTTATGTACTACAATATACTCTCTTCGTCCCAGATTGTTTGCTACATTTCGAAACACGTGCAAAATACCATCTTTTTTAAAATCATTTTATTAACAAATTGGTAGAGAAATGAAAAGTAAGAATTATACCGCTCAAAAGTATATTAAAAGTTTGACAAAACAAGATGCGATAAAAATATTTTACTTTGTCAAATCGTCAACCAAAATGACTAAATAAACAAAAGTTATCGCGAGACTAAAATAGTAACTGTGATATTCTTTTCGGAGGGGAGGGAGACAATACTCCGTATTATTATTGGTGAATGAATAGTGTCGGCAAGGGCGATGAAGTAGCAACAGGGCAGGGCACCCCAATAATTTGGGGCCCTGTGAAAAAAAGAGTTAACCCTTTCATTTCACTGGCTATTTTGTTTATGCACTTCTACGAAATATGTAGACAAATTTACAACCTAATATAAGAATATATAGTCTATAGATGAGATATTAAAATTAAGAGCATGTAATGTTATCTCACTTCAAGTGGTGTAATATCGTGACACTAGTGATGGGGTGTTACCGCCACCGTAGATTAGCCGGTAACGCCCCCTACCCCCTACGCTGTGACCATGGCAGCACCCGGGGCGTGACAGGAGGGGCATTTCAGAGAGGCCTTGAAGGCGACCATAGGCAGTGCCTGTCTCGTTTCCTGCGCCAATTGTTGCCAACTACCATTTTTTGGTCAGTTGGCTATTAATTTTTTTTCTTTCCCTATAAGTTAATAAAAAATCCCACAATCTCCACACATCATCTTCTTCATTCATCTTCAATTAAATTTTTTTAATCATGAATCCGAATCACCCAAATTTTCTATATCCTAATATTTTTTCAATTGTTATCGACCCCAAATCGACCCAAATAATCCAAATTCCCCGAATTCACTTACAAACTAACCCTACATAAAATTACTCAAATTGGTTCCAACCGAGCCAATTTCCTACCCCACTGTTCCAACCATCCAACCCACACCCGAATACGGGAACGAATATGTTCCCGAAACCCAATTTGAAGAAACAACCCTCCACCAATTCTGAGCCGACACCCTCAAAGAGAAATTACAAGAAGAAAGAGGTGCTGAAAAAAGTTACAAAGTCCGCCGTGACCAAATGGTGGACAGAAGAGGCGGAGGTTGCACTTGCCAGGTCCTACATCGACACCTCCGAAGATCCTCATATTGGTATGGGTTTAATTTTTTATTTTTTAATTTTATTTTCCTTTTTATTTTTTTGGTTTTAATTTTTTATTATCTTGTTTTCTTAAAAACTTAAGTTTATTCTTTTTGGGGTGTAACCAAACATCGTCAGAGTTTTGGACTCGCGTTCACAATCAATTTTTTGAGACGATGGGTCGCGGCCAATATCGGACCAACGACATGATCTCAAGTAAATGGAGAGACATGCAAGCGAAAGTTTCCAAAGTCTGCGGTATTTGGAACGAGGTGAATAGGTCGTGAAAGATGGGCCAAAACGACTCACAAGTTTTGGCCGAGGCGTTGACCCAATACGCTCGTGAGCGTGGCGCGTTCACGAGTATCAAGGCATGGGAAGTCATGTGTGAATCCACAAAGTGGCATTACCGTCCCGAGATTTCAAGTGTCAAAACGGTTGAAGACATATTTGTCAACCAACGTGGGTTCGGGCAATTCCTCATCTAGAGTTAGAATATCTTTGAACGACTCTGATGAAGATGACGAGGAGTACTCCATGCCTCTCGGACCTCGCCGCCTACATGGTCAGAACAACCGAGGAGAACGTCTAATGTCCTCAGGGCGTATAGTAATAGCAAGTTGGAAGAGAAGTTGGAAAAGATATCAACGCACATGAAGACATTTGTTTCTCTCCAACAAGAAAAACAATACAACAACGACATGTGCTGATGCGCATGTTGTGGACTCCAACAGATCATTTGACTGGGCGGGCTAGAGAAGATGCCGAGAAGGCGAAGGCAAAGATCCAGGCTAAATGGAACATGGAAGACTAGTTATATTTTTTCCCGTTGTGTTTCAATATATTTTTTTATTCTTGTATTTTATCCCCTTTGTTGTTTTTTCGTTGTATCTTTTTTTTCCTCGTATTTTTGTCCCGTTCAAAGTATGTTTATATTAATATTTGAATTTATATATTTACAAAAAATATTATCTATAAAACAAAAAAATGGTCAAGCCCCCCATTACGTACCTACAAGTGATTGGGCTTGATGGGAGGACCAAGTCACATGGCGTTTATGTGGTGGTGGTCAAGCTGCCATCAAGCCCCATGATAACACATGGTCTTAGAGCATCAGCAATGGCGCTCCATCACCATACCACGCTCTGTCACATCAGCATGTGGAGGCCTAAGCCGACGCCTATATCTGAGTAGCCTGCGAGGCAAAATATCTCTATACCATATTACCATGAGTACGGAGTATTTTTTTTCTATTTTATTTTAATTTTTCATTTCTTTTCTTTGGATAAGAAAGGAGATCTGTGACCATCGACTCATCTGTAACGTACTTCTATATAGTCCCTATTTGTTTTCCATTTTTTCTTGGCTAAACTCCACCATTGGTCCTTCAACTTTATCAATTGTGCACGGTTGGTCCTTCAAGTTTTAAAACTCCATAAATAGTCCTTCAACTTTATGAGTTATGCACGATTGGTCCTTCAAGTTTTAAAAGTGCATAAATAGTCCTTCAAGTACACGTCAGCCCTCCAGATGAGGTCCTTTTGACAGTAAATGTTAAAAGCTAAATGGAATCCTAGCTCCATATAATACGGAGTAGTCGTACCTAGTGGAATTTACTCGTATTATATGAAACTAGTATTCCGTTTAACTTTTAATATTTACTGTCAAAAGGACTTCATATGGAGGGCTGACGTGTACCTGAAGGACTACTTATGGACTTTTGAAACTTGAAAGACCAATGGTGCAGAACTTATAAAGTTGAAGGACTATTTATGAACTTTTGAAACTTGAAGGACCAATCGTGCACAACTGATAAAGTTGAAGGACTAATGATGGATTTTAGTCTTTTTTCTTTTCTATTTCTTTGTCTATTTTCTTTGAAGAAGAAAGCACACATTTGGCTATCAAATGCCTTCATCTACGGAGTATTTTTTTTCATTGTTATGATAAAATAAATAATTAAAATAGGAGTCATTTTTAATAATTAAAATACTAAAAAAAAAGTTACAAACATAATGAGTTGCCACTGTAAGATGTTCCACGCCATTGCCACTCTCTGACTAGATTGTTTTTTATTAGTTAAAATATGTCATATCAGCGTGTGACATTCTTTTATTTGTCATTGCTTGTGCTCTTATAAAAAATTTGATTAGGTGTTGGACATTAATTGGAGAATTCATGAAATATACTCCGTATGAGAGTAATTATGTGTATCTGGCTTTTTTTTCATTTTTTTCATGCTATTGTGGTTTTTTCTTATTGCGAAAAATACAATAATAAAATAACCTACTTAATGGCTTTTTCCCTTATGTATTTGTTATTCCATAATGTGACGATCAACAAATAAAAATACAATAAAATAACGAGTAGAGTTATAAAATGAAAAATCTATTGGTGGGAACAAACTAAATCCTAGTCCTACTTGCTGCTTGCACATCACGCAATTTATTAGGCTATAAATAACTGAGTTTAATCGTTCATTATGACCATACATCATCATCATCAATTACACATTACACTAATAATTACATTATTGAGAGAGAAGAAATTAATTAGGAGGTGAGTATGGAGGTGGAAACAGTATTCCGGCGCATGTACAACCTTAACAACGGCGAGGACATCGTGGCCCACATCAAACACGCCGTCTGCGCCGCCTACTTGATCTCCCCCGACAAACTCAAGAGCAACCGCCGCAGCATCCTCAAACTGCTCTTCGCCGACGACCCCCTTCACTCCCCAGAGGACTCCGATGAAGAAGAAGTTGCCGACTTGGCCGCCTCCGCCCCCGCCAGCGGCGAACCAATAACAGATCCTTCCGGCCGCCTGCAGGGGCTCTCCAAGAAATTAGCTGGAGGGGATGAAGAAGAAGAAAGGTTCAAGAAAGCTATTGCCAAGAGAAAGTGGTGCCGTGAAAAGGAAGACGGCGAAAAGAGAGGGAAATTCCTCCGCGTGGGTCATAGTAAAGTCCGATACAATATTAGATCATACTGAAATATTTGTATGTAATTAGTTTTATCTCTGATATGGTTTATGTATTAAAAAAGGAAGCAATAACCTTTGAATGTTTATGTGTATAAAAGGTTCGTCAGCCCCTTTTTGTAATGAAATTTTGTGTTCTTTATGAATGGCAAGTTATGTATGGAGTATTCAATAAAGAAGAAAGGTTTTGATTAGTGTGTTTATCATAACCATAGAATTGATTATTTTGTATTCGAAACCCTAGAGCAACATAAGGCTTTGTTATTGATCTGTTTTGATCCGATTCTAATAAAAATATTACCTCCGTCCCACTGTCTTTGTCCACATTTGACTTTTGGAACTGTTCATCTAAGCACTTTGACTTATCAAATTCTCTCAATGTGTAAGCCTAAAAATAGTCATGTGTGATCTTGTTTGATTCGTCTTAACATATAGATTATTAATATATAATTTTTATAATTTTTTAATATACAAATTACAAGATAAAATGGATTAAAGAAGTGTATTGGATGGTGTGTCAAAAGGTAAGTGGACAAAGACAGTGGGATCGAGGAAGTATGTAATAAGTAAAAAAGAATAAGTTCATAATTTACTACTCCACTACGTACATATTACAGGAACAAGTTGAAGTGAAGAAATTAACTGGCATGATTGTTGATTGCTTTGAAATTAATGAGTTTTTCTTCGCTGTATGTTTAGAATTTTGATCATCACGTAAAAAATGATGTCATTGAGTGCATGCCACTTTCACGTACTTTTCCGAACCCTAGCTACATTCAATTCCTTTCAAGGCCGAAATTACCGTAACTTAAGAAAAAGAAACAAAGTAAAAACAAAAATATCCTAATCTAGTTTGGTTGGCGGGGAAATTTGTGAGAAAATTACTTTTCGTACTCAGGATATTTGATTATTGTAGAGAAAGCGAAAGAAGACATTGTTTAATTAAAGAGAAGAACAATTTTGTGAGAGTGTGGTGAGGAATTGGTGATGAGTGGGGGCAAGGATATCATGCGGGGACAAGGGATGGCATGTGGGGGTAGGGGTGGGGGGTGGGTGGGCACGGGGGAGGCGGGCGGTAGCTAGGGCTGTTCATCGGTCCAAGACCGGACCGGATCAAAGACCGATTGAATAAAATCACGGACCGAAGACTGGACGTCCGGACATAAATCTATTTGGTTTTGAACCGACCGGACCGAAATACTTAGGACCGAATAAAAATAGATAAATTTTAATTATTTTGATCAATTAAATATATTTTAGGCTTTTTAACTTGTACCATGCAAAGAGAAAAAAATAAAAAATAGCCAACCTAAAAATAGGTACACAATATGAACTACTTCTATGTAGAATTATAAAAATTAATGTGAAAGATTTTTTTTAAATTTTTTTTAAAAAATTACTTAATAGAAATCCTTTTAATTAAATAAATTAAGATATCTACTAAAATAGAACGTCAAAGTGTAATACGGAACTTAAAAAATATAGTTTTAGAATTTAGGTCTAGTTATATTATTAGATCCATTCGGTCCAATGAATCTGGACTTAAATCATTTTGGGTTTTGACCGGACTGACCCAAAATCTATTGGGTCCAGATTCGGTCTAGACCTAACAGTTTGGTTCGATCGATTTTTTCAGTCTAAGAATTAAACGTGAACAACCCTAGCAGGTGGGAGGTAGAAGTTTTCAATTTTATCTCTTTTCCTCTGTCCTCACAAAAAAAAAGAGAAAAAAATCACATTTTCAAAAGCAACATTTGTATGGCACGTATAGGCATACAGTTATCACTTCCAATCAATAATCGTTTCGTAGATGAAGGGCACATATAAACATAGTACTCCTTCTGTCCTATAATGTTCTTCCCACACACTTTTTACACGGTCAAACTTTAATCACTTTCTTTATCTATTTTCATTAGGTATTTGATAAAATAATATAGTCTTGTCACCACTTGTTTTGTAGAACTTTTGATATAGTTTTTAAATATATAATTTTTATTTTTTAATTTTACACCTACAATCAAATAAATTGAATTGAAAATAAAGTCGGTCAAACTTTGTAAAATGAACCGGGAAGATCATTATAGGACGGAGGGAGTACTAGTAGTACACTTTGTGGTTTACGACATCATGACTCATTTCAAACGAGGCATTGCAGCAAGTTTCTCTATCTCTAATTCTCTAAATAGTTTTTAGTGGCTTTAAATTTTGTTTATCTATCATGTCAGTTTTGACTTACCTCACCAATTTAAGGAAATGAGTTTAAAAACCCGAGGCTTCAAACTAGAGCTTCAAAGTTCAAACTTTCATTTTTTATATTTTAAATAAACATCTTCTAAAATTGAATTAATAAAATTGAATTATTTAAATTTATTCATTAAAAAAATTACAATCATGAACAACAGATACATTCTTAATTTAAAAAATTACATTCGTTCATTAAAAAAATTACATCAAAAATTAAAAAAATTACATTCATCAAATATAAAAAAAGTACACGTGCGATACTGCGATAACAGGAAAGGGGGGCGGGGAGAACTCCATGCCAAATTTCAGCCAACAATTTGTGTCAAAAGTTTGACGCTGCAAAAATAAATGCAGGGACTGTGTTTAACACCCCATACATCAAAATCAACTTAACGCCGGTGGGCGTTTGTGGACTGTGGTATTACCTGCTCTAAATCGAGATGATGATTTGCAGAACAAGATTACAGATTTACAATTAACCAAAACATAAAAAGCTGAAAGTTAAGCAGCAAAGTTACCTTGATAACTGCTTTTTTACAACCTTCTCCACGTGTGGCTTGGAGAAACATTTCTTCCTCTCCATTTCTTTCTCTACTATTTTCCCCATTAACATTGACGAAGTCCTCTTCTTCTTTTTTTCTCAAAATTGACGGAGTCAAAAACAGTTCGTTGTCTTACCTCTCACAATATATTGACTTGCTGCAATCATTCATCAATTTTATTTATTTTATTTTGTTTCCTTAAACCCCTTCTACCGGTTCAAGTGTGCACCAGATTCTTGGATTTCGTTTTTTGAGTGCTATATGGAGGTGGTGGCTGCAATAGTTGGTTCAGTTCTTACTGAATCTTTTCGATTTCTGCATGAACCCATCACTTCTAGGATTAAGAATCAGTTCAAGATTCAATCAAACTGCAAGAATCTTGAGGAAAAGATGAATCTTTTGTCAGAACTCGAGCAAAGCTTGGATCTTGATGAGCGGCTGCGATACTCTCCAAGAACCCAAGTCCAAGATTGGCTAAAGAGAGTTGAAGAATTGAAGAATGAGTTCAATCTGTTTCAGGCCGGTGTTGAGAAGAAGATGAATAACACCTCGTTTGGTTGCCTTCGCTGCCTCGATTTCAAACTCGGCAATAATTTAGCGAGCTTGATGCTGAAAGCTAATAAGTTCATCGGAGAAAGAGAAGCATTTGATAGTACCATTTATAGGCTTGAACCAGTTGAGCACATTCCTGGGCCATCTGTGGTTGGCCAATGGACTGCATCGAAGAACTTGGAAGGGATCATGAAGCTTCTGAGAGATGATAGGGTTAAGAGGATTGGGGTTTGGGGTATGGGAGGCGTGGGCAAAACGACTCTAATCAGCAATCTCAACAATAAGCTTGAGAGTCCAGGAGACAGGCTTTTTGGCATTGTGATATGGGTTGTAGTGTCCCAGCACGGAAGCTTGAAGACCATCCAATCAAGAATTGCAGAGCGATTGGAGATGCAAATCGGGATTGGAGAGAGTGATGAAAGAATCGTCAGTCGATTGTGCAGTAGACTGAGGGAAAGATGCTTTCTCATCATTCTTGATGACGTGTGGGATGCGATTGATCTAGACAAGGTGGGGATTCCTCGCCTTGAAGGCCTTACAGGCAGCAAGGTCATACTTACATCTCGATCTCTAGAGGTTTGTAACGAAATGGAGACCGATCACAACTTTGAAGTGTGTTGCCTGCGTGACAACGAGGCTTGGGACTTGTTTTCTGAGAAAGTAGGGGAAGAAGTGGCCAATGATGATGAAATCAAGCCACACGCGGAGAAGGTTGTTAAGGAATGCCATGGATTGCCCCTTGCAATCACCATAGTAGGGGCATCAATGAGTAAAAAGAGACGTGTTTCACAGTGGCAAGATGCATTGGGGTACTTACAGAGATCGATGCCTCTTAATCCAAAGGTTGAAGACAAAGTCTTCAAACCCCTTAAGTTAAGCTATGATTTTTTAGAGAGTACGGAAGACGAGCCTTTGAAATCCTGCTTCTTGTTCTTGTGCTTGTTTCCGGAGGACTATGAAGTTCCTCTTCAAAGACTAGTCCAATACTGGCTTGCTGAAGGCTTACTCGATGAGCGCAAAAATTATGAAGAATTGCACAACAGATGTGATACCATTGTTGAGAAACTAAAAGCTTTTTGCTTGTTGGAATGTGGCATTATCGATCCAAGTCATGTGAGAATGCACGACGTAGTTCGTGATGTTGGGATATGGATAGCAACCCATGAATACAAATCCATTGTCCGAGCTGGAGAGTGTGACTTGACTGAAATATCACCAGAAGTGCTTGAGAATTGTTCCAACCGTGGAGTAAAGAGAGTTTCTTTTGTGGGTAATGATATAGAAACCTTGCCAAGCTGCGAGGTACAATGCCCTGAAACGTCTACTCTATTATTGCTAGATAATTTGCACCTCCGCGAAATGCCCAGCTCTTTCTTACTTGGATTCCCAACACTAAGAATTCTGGACCTCAGTGAGAGCAAGATCAAATCTTTGCCACAATCCCTTGCTAACCTTGCTCAACTTCGAACTCTAGTTTTAAAAAGGTGCTATCAATTGACTGAGTTGCCCCCTTTTGAAGCACTTGGAAGGCTGCAAGTGCTTGATTGCAGTTACAGTGGTCTCACTAAGCTGCCACAAGGCTTTGAAAAGCTAACAAACCTACGCCAGTTAGACATATCTTGCACTCATAAGTTGCAGAGAATTCCTACTGGGAAAATTTCTAACTTATGCAGCCTCGAGTATCTTAATGTGATGGGTAACGCTACCGGATGTGGCATGAGCAGAGAGAGCGAAAATAGCATCATAGACTTTGAGGAATTGTTGTGCCTCCAAGAGTTGATGGCCTTGTGCATAGACATAGCGGGCATTCCTCGTGCCACCGCAGTGCATGTTAATTGGCTCAAAAGCATCAACTTTTTTGCTGTTCATGTCTCTCCTGATGGAAGGAAAACCGATATTCCAGCTAACGTCAATAGCAAGGAAGTCCATTTTTGTGGCCTTCATTTTGCAGGAGACGAATCTGTTGCGTGGCTATTAGCAAATACCTTCTCCTGCAGCATCATTGAGTGCAAGGGAGTTGAACTCATGCTGAGTGCCCTAGTTAGGAACAATGCGCCCTTTTCTGACTTGAAACATCTAACCATGTCAAGTTGTCACATCTCTGTCATCAAAACACTGCCCTCGCGGAGGCCAAAATTTGACTTGCTGCCTAACTTAGAGGCACTTTATTTCTACAAGTTGACGGGCATGGGAAGCGTTTCAGACTTGAGTCATTTTCTCGGGCTGCGTTTCACTAAGTTAAGACGGCTAGATGTTGTGTACTGCAATCAACTGGAGTGTCTTTTGGCAGTGGATGATATTGAAGGGGAGGAGAACAACTGCGTAGAGAAACTGGAACAGATTAACATAAAGCATTGCTTCAGGTTGAGACAAGTGTTCAAGAACACATCCTCCTCGTGCTGCAAACCATTTCCAAACCTACGCTCCTTGGAGTTGGAAACGCTTCCTGAACTGGTGCAGATTTGCAATGCCAATGTGTGTTCACCATGGGAGAGCCTAACGCTGCTTGATGTGAGAGGATGCAACAGGTTAAGAAAGCTTCCTGTTGGCATCCAAAGTGCGCGCCCTCGGAGGACTCTATTGATAAGAGGAGTGAATGGCTGGTGGAATGATCTGGAATGGGATAGGCCCGAGTCAAAACTTTGCCTGAGCTCGCACTTTACACCATTGGGTTGAACGGTGTTTGACTCTCGTGATTGATTCTTTTCCCCTTCTCTTCGGACCCATCAGCTCTAGGATCAAGAATCTATCCAACTACAGAACTACTACTACTACTGCCAATTCTGTGAGGTGACCATAATGGAGAAAAGAATCAACCAACCTGTGTAGTAAATGACTTTTCTCAAAAATAGATGGTGGCTCAAAGTTTCTTTAATACTATTGATGTGTTTGTCTGTGCTTATAAATTGGTCAAAATTACTAGTAAGATGTTTTAACTTCTAAGTCATTGGATGATGTTATGTTATTTAATGTTTATGCTTTCTTTTTTCTTCATTAATTTGACAATGCCAATTGCATCTCTAGTTCCTAACACTGTTGAGGTTGAAATGAGTATGGGAGTATTATTTAGATGTGAAAATGTTATAATCTGCTCTCCAATCACTCTTTTTGATTGGATTTAAATGTTCAGTATTTTATTGTTTTCAATTTTTCCAAAAATATTTGTTTATATTGCGTAATTCATATTTATATAAACTGAATTTAAAATAATTTAAGTCAAATCCCGTAATATGAAATGAAGAAGCAGGACATACAAAGTTTTTATAAATAAAAAAAAAGACATTGTTAAAATGAGAGCAAATTTTCTATGCTGCTAATCCAGATGATGGTTTGCAAAACATCAAAAGCTGAGAGTTAAGCAGCAAAGTTACCTTGATAAATACTGCTTTTTTACAAAGCTCCAAGAGCAAGTTCTTTCACTTTTCAAGAAGACTGAACATACAGATTTCACCAAGAACCATAGGTTATAAAAATAAGGGTTATACACATCCTAAGCATTTTCACGTTCCTGCAAAAGCCAAGCAAAAAGGGCATCCAAGCATATCAGACACTGGCAAACTAGAGGAATTTACATTCGCCAAAGAACACGCCCATTGCCATAAAGACCAACGTGCAAAGGTACAGTCTTCAAATTTCATCTTTGGGAGCAGAGTAAAGCATGGTGGTCACAGAGTCATGACAAAACAATGGATCTTCTCCGCTGGTGTAAATGCGAAAAAGTTGCTTGATGTACTTCTCAGCTATTTTCCTAGAGTGTTTGATAGCATTGGCAGATGCTTCCAACTTGGACCTCTTAAGGTTGTTTTCTGGGTGCCCGTCGATGAAATACTTGGCCAATTCAACCCTGACCGAAAATAAAGTCGATTCAATATATGGTTGCAGTAAAATCATAAACATGTTTCGAATCAAATAAAGAAAGTCATATTGTCCATTTCCTGCCCTTAGTCCATGAAAAGCAATCACAAGAAATGGCCTACTTGAGATCTAGTCCCTAATTTTACATGTTGATGCCCATGATCTAAGGCCTCATTTCAAAATTATCTTGCTCTATAACCAATTTTACCAGGAACATGAAATTAATTTTATCAGGTAAAAAAGGAAGCCTCCAAGCATGTTTACAGATCTTCAGTTAAAGATAGTGTGGAAAACAGAATATGTTCACAAGATAAATTTTAACACAGTATGAGCACTGGATAAAGAACAGAGAAAGAATGAGAGCTATAGTGGTCTTTCTTTTTTAAGTCATACCCCATTTCGTCGTCTGGCTCAAACACTCGGTCCACAGCCTTCAAGGACATTGGTGCAGAAATTAACTTTCTATATAGGGCACAAACAGCATGCATACAAAGTTCGTCATCAAAGGCAAATGCCGTACACATCTGCCGTTCTGTGGTCCATTCTTTAGCTCCATTGCTGTTTTTTGAAGCTTCTGTTTCTTCATCATACTTCATCTTCTTTCTACAATTCGAAGGACTGTCCAATGGCAACTCGTCCTCGGAGTCGCTGAGAACAACAACTGCTGGCATGTCTGTAATATCATAAACTCATCAAGTTCGATCAACATAATAAACATAATAGAGCCATTTAGCACTGAAATAGAGCAAGCAAATTTGTACATAGACTACGATTCCTTCAAGACACAAAATCTTGGCATCTGTGATCCACACGGCTCATCGAAATAGACTTTGAAAGCCTACCATAAGTATCAAGGATTTTAGAAGAGATTGCTTCTAAAACAAAATATAGTACCCAAATTATCAACATATTCACTTAGACCTCTAGAAAAAACCTAGGGCAAAGTATCCAAAACCTAAACCCCAAACTTACACAAGGAAATGAAGCAAAATCACAAATCAGGCTTTAAGAATCAAATTACTTGTAGAATACCTTCTTTCTTGGGACTGTTGACACCAAGTCCAACAACAGGCGTGGGTTCAAGCCTTTGGGTACCCAGATTAAGCCCGTCTTCCTCATTCGGGAGCTCGCCATCGAGATGCTTGTAGATGGTTGCTAGTGTGGAGGGATCAAAACCCCCTTTTGCTGCAATGTCCTCCTCCAAACGACCCACCATCTCCTCGAGCTTGGCATAGTCATTATCTTTATCTTCAATTTCACGCTTCAGAGAAATGTTTCTTTGGATCAAATCTTGGTTCTCACTTTTGCATTTCTTCAATTCCTCCCTGATTTTCAAAATCTCCAAGTCTCGCTCCTTCACAGCGGATTCCTTAGCGTTCCTCACACTCTCCAACTCAGCCTTGAGGGAATTTTCCCGTTGGCAGAGTAGTTTCTTGCCAAGAATGAAGTCCTTCGCCTGGAAAGAGGACCTCAGAAACTCGACGACATCGGGAATCGAGGAACTTGCGGTGATATTTTCGGAAAGCAAGGGTTTTGGTTCGGGGGACGTTCGGGTCGACGGAGAAATCATGGAAACGGACGGCCGGTGATCGGAGAGGAGTGGAGACGGAGACGGAGCCCGGAGGCGATGACAGGAAAGGTGTGCTGCTTTACTGATTTTGTCCTTCGGACAAAAAGACGTTTAATTTTCCAACAGAGTTCGGGGTACCAATCATCTTTAATCTTTCCTTATGACCGTACGAGTATCTTTTCTTTTTTGGGTTGTTATATTTGACATGAGACAAAATACAAAAATGTTAGGGGTACACTAATTTTTGTACTCCATTTGTACCCTCCTCCATCTCCACCACACAAAAGCAAGAAAAGGAAAAAAATTAAAATATGAAAGGAAATCTATAGTTATGACTGTTGGTCTATAAATGGGGTACACCAAATGCTGTACCCCTAGCATTCCTCGCCAAAATATAATTACAACATTGGGATGATGTTAGTGTTACAAAAAAATTGAAAAATGTGGGAAGATTACACTTTTGGTGTACCCTATTTGTACACTAAGAAACTCTCCAATACACACTTCTTGATGTATATCTGTAGAGAGAGAAGTAAATAAAAAATGTATGGTGAATGTCTGGTGATGTACAAATGAAGTAAACATTTAGTATATTCCTATCATTACTCTTTTTTTTAAATCTTTTACAAAAATTCATTCTTATTTTATGGACCTTATTAAATTTGTAATAAAAAAGAAGTTGACCTTTTGCAAAATAGAAAAGGAAATGATCCACTTGTTAGTCAATAATATATATATATATATATATATATATATATATATATACGAGAATATACATATTTCACATGTGAGCTTTAGAACTATAGAAGAACAACTCTAAACTTTTACTCCCTACATCCTTAATAATTTTTAAAATAGTTACGAAGAAAAATATCTCGTCTTCTGAAATCATTTTTTATAAATTGGTATATCAATAACAAATAAAAATCATATATTAAAAAACTACGTCAAAAGTTCTACAAAACGAACGGTGACAAGAATATTTTATTTTATCAAATATTCTATGAAAATACGCAACTAAATAAAAGTTATCGAGAGGAGAGGAAAAGAAGATTGTAATCTATTTCAGGATGGAGGAAGTATGGCAATGTTGGTTAAAGAATTGGAGAATCTTTATTAATAAATCTACCTGGTTAGGAGTAAAAAAAACTATAAAAATGCCATAATATGAGTCTTAAGTCTTTTAAGACCAAAATATGAGTATAACGACATTGTGGTGTAAGAGTATGCATTGACGGTGTGATGGAAAAGTGATTACAATGTAATATATCATTGTCATTCGTCAATCATCAGTGGTCTGCAGCGTAACTTTGGTAGCTTGCAACGACGGAGGACAGCATGACGGTAAAATTTAGAAGGAAAGTATTAAAACTTGAGTTACTCATAGGAGCAACTAAAGAAGATGAAATAGGATTAAAAATTCCATTGTTGTTCTTGTGTCTTTTCACCATTTTGAATGAGTCGACACCTAATATCGATGGACGGTGGAAAGTGGAATAACGAGAGAGAGAGAGAGAGAGACTCGAATGTTACTTACTTTAGATTAGGTTTTACGCCTTTTGAGTTTTGAATTGCCTGTATATATCATATTTTAAATGAATATATAAAACTAAATAACTAATAAAAGTAAACAAATAAGTGCATAACCCGTCAGGTCAAACCTGACCTGACCTGTTCTGACCCGAAAATTAAAGAGGTCTTCGGGTTTGGGTCATTTCGGGTTCAGGTTGCAAAATCAATGTTCAAACCCCACTAATTTCGCGTCAGGTTTCAGATAAATAACGAATCAAGTCAAATTTTGTCGGGACTAGTTTCATTTACTATAGTTGCTGGGCGGGAACTTTTTTTCATTTCTTTTTCCTTTTTTTCCACCCTCATTTCTTTTGCTTTTGTACATAGTGTAAGATGTTTTAAGTTATAAAAATTAACTTCCAACTCCTAATTTCTTTCAACTCTTTCCAATCCTTCCAATAATTACTTTAAAAAATATATTTATATATGATGAATATATAATATCATTATACATTTAAATCAATAACATATCACTTCACACACGAACAATGATGAATTTTTTTATCTATCAGAGTTTTTTACATAGATCTCTCGATGGTCATTTAATTGAATGGTTTTTTAATTGAATGATTTTCTAACACTTTAAATCTTCCATTATTTTCCTAACTCTTTCCAATTTCTTCGAAAGTCATTCTCGCGAGTCAACAGCCTTTCTTTAGCATCAAGTGTTGAAGTTGTTAGGCTTTATTTATGCACGTGGATCAATCAAGAAAATGTTTCTTGAAGATCAAGTATTCAATTAATTACGCGTCATTATTCAATTCAAGAAAGAGAATTGTATATATTTATACTCACTCGGCTTATCAATTCGTCTCCAAAATTTCCAAATAAATTCACTCAGATCTCCACTAAGCTCTCTACTGTGTTCTAATCATCAATAACAAATCAAGAAACAGCGCCATGGTTGTGGAAAGGGTGTTCAGGAGTGTGTACAACCTCAACAACGATGATGACATCGTGACGCACATCAAGATCGCCATGTCCGTTGCCTCTTTGACCGAGCCCGACAATCTGAGGAAGAGCCGCTGCAGAATCGTCAAGTTACTGTTCGCCGACAACCCCTTTCCCTCCGCCGCCGACGATTCCGATGAAGAAGAAGATCAAGATTTGGGTGGCCTGATAAAAGACCCCCCTCCCAAGAAAGATGAAAAACAACAAAAAGGGTTCAAGAAAGCTGTTGAAGAAGACTCTGTGGCGGCGGCGGCGGCAAAGAGGAAGCTCTGTGGCGGCCAGAAAGAAGGTGCAGAAAAGAAAGCCAAATCTCCTCCTCCTCCCTGCTGCGGTGGTGTCCAGCAACGGCTACAGGCAAAGAGGAAGCTCTGTGGCGGCCAGAAAGAAGGTGTAGAAAAGAAAGCCAAATCTCCTCCTCCCAGCTGCGCTGGTGGCCAGCAAAGGGTACAGTCAAAGTTGAAGAAGAGAAAGCCCAATCCAAGATTTATTATTTGCTAGATAATAACTGATGTGCAGACAGAGTAATTGAAGTGCCAGATGACTCTACTGGGGAGATAACAGACTGCCGGAGAAGATGCAATGAAAAATTACACAGCAGCGGCGACCACCTGCGTGGCAGGATTACTAAACTCTGGAATTTGTTGGTGTATTATTGGTTTCTTTTAATATTGTAATTTAGTTTAGGGGTCGGGCGGAATTATAAGCCCCTTTCTGGGTTTTCTACGGTTCTTTCCCAGATCGATAAAAGAGAGTCGAACCGAATAGGGTCCCTAGATAATTATAATTAGGACTTGAACTATTTCTAAAAGGATTATCAATCAAAGTATTCATTCAAACCCTAATTCTCTCTTTCTCTGCACTTGCCTTCAGCTCACCCCTCCCCTCTCTTCTTTGGATTCTCTCTTTATTCTCTTGTTCTTGGGAGTTCAGAGAACTCGAAGTCTTCTATATTTAGAATAATTCATATGACACAGTTTGTGATCTAAGAACTATGTGTGGCTTGATCCCAAATTTGTTTTTAAAAAAAAGGGTGCATAGGCAGCCTTGAAAGTTTATTAAAGGATCAGCTTGTTTTTTTAATAAGTCTTTATACTTACTGTATTTCTATAGCATAAAGAATGCAGTAATCTGGACGTCTGCAAGAATCATAAATGATACGGAGCATTTGGGGGGGAGCATTACGACACCTCTATTGAAATACAGGAAGATCCATTCTTGGTCGTGGGTCATATAAGCCGGTGGATCCTTCAACTCTTGAGATGATTTTGGAAGATCCTTCCTCGCCAACATTAGCCACCATTTTCAAGAAATAGCTGTGCCTATAACAAGAAAATAAAATTCTCATGGATGGGGTTTAACCAACACATATATAGGGCCTGTTTGGGAACAGCGTTAGCGATTAGCGTTAGCGTTTTGAAAAGGCTATCTACGGGCAGCGTTTAGCGTTAGCGTTTTCAAAGTAATCTGCACCGTTAAAATTTTATCCAAAACGCTAACGCTAATCACTAACGCTATTTCCAAACAGACCCATAATCATATAGACGTACCCCATTTTTTATATAAAAAAGGAATGAAAAATAGGAAACATATACCACCGAGTATCAGCAGTTAGTTCAGGGTGAAAAGCAGTGGCTAGCATGTTCCCTTGCTTTACAGCTACAATCACTCTTTCCTCGGGCTCAACGGGTTCATGTTTCATCTATACCAATTACAATTGTGCATTAGAGTGTGATTAGATACCGGAAAATGCCATGAAATATTTTATTCAATTTCAAATACTCTTCTCCTGCACTTTATTTCCTACCAATTGTTTCCGTGTTTTTCTTCCTATTCAAATTCCTTTAGGTAGTGTTTGGCAACTAGCATTTCATTTCAATTCATGCATTTCAAATCCAAAATTTGAAATCCTGAATTTCAAATGACAAGGGGAGGTGCATGGATTTTAAATTAAGCTTGGTTTTGAATGTAAAGAATTTGATTCAAATCCAAATTCAAAATGCTTAAGTTTCCCAAACATGGAATTTAAGCCAAATCCGGATTTGAAATCCAAATCCATGTTCCCAAACATACCATTAAGAAATAGTAATAGTGGTGCTTGGGGTGAAAGTTGATACGTAACATTCAGATTGTCCTAGGAACGACAACTAAGAGAAGCCTTCGAAATTAGCATACTACTGACTCTGCACTAATTGCATTTACTATCTCCTGATTCCGCATTCAGAGAATTGATCTCTGACACTAGTGTGAGCAATGACCATGGAAACAACAATAGGTCATTCTTCTTTTGGCCATTGAAATCTGGTCTGAGCTTAGACAACGAGCACTCTCCCCTTACAACAACAACAACATTACCCTAGTGCCTCAAAGGCTCCCGCCCATTGAAGTGTAAGGGTGGCCGGATGCACGCAGCCTGACCTCTATGTTAAAACATAGAGCGGCTGTTTTCGGATGACCCATGATGAGCATCAAAAATTACATTGACTAACTGTTACTCCACTATCAAAAGAAGCACAGGTAGTTTAAGAGCCATTTTGCTTTATTCCATTTACTCCAAAGCCAAATAATAGTGAATATTCAGCTCCATCAGAGAAGATGAAAGTACAACAAGCACTCTCCCCTTAGTTTATTCTAAACTAACAAATGGGAAAAACAGACAAATGAAGTGAAAAGGATCAAAGTCCTCAAGGAAGCTTTTTCTTCTAGAAAAATGCACCCTCCATCCCCACCATGTCAATTTCTCAATTGGCATATTTTGAATCTGACAACGAGTACATAAGGGCATTCATAAGAGCATTTTACCTACCACAAAAAGAACAAAAATCCCAGCAATTCATAACAGAATTGCCAATAAAGAGTGACCAACCAAGAAAGAAAAAAGAATGCCCTGTATGTCACAATGCAAGTTTTGTGCAGTCCAACTTTTTGGGGGAAAAGAAAAGTTGGTCACCAAACACTTCTAATAGATGCATGATCACTCTTTTACCTCAAAAAGCTCATGTTCAACAAAAAAAATTGTCCAAAAAGTTGTGTCAAACTCTCTCATAGCAATATCGCACACGTCTCAACAAAAGACTTGTGAATTCTCAATCATTGAAAACCATAAAACGAGAAAAAAATTGAACGAAGGCACATGTAATTGTTTGTGTTCATATATAGCAAACTAAATAGAGCACTAATGCATTACAGTGGTGCGGTATAGCAATCTGTGTATAACACTAACGCAATACTGTGAATATGAAATAAAATGTAATGTTAAGCAGTTGGTTAAGCAATTGGAAATATTGCGAAGTATATTCCTATATAGGTCGAGAAACATAGCATTTGGTGGCCCTATTGTTCAGGAGCCGAAGCAAGTACCTACTTCATAGTTGTTATTCTTTTGGCCATCATCATCTCCTATTACTCTATTAGCCCCAATCTTAGCCCCATCCACCTCTCATGGAGAATTCTGCATTCAGCCTTTTCTGATATCTGGATAACTTCTCCTCTGCAAGAAGTTCCTTTTGCACTTCAAGTGCTTTTTCTTTTGCTTCCTTCGTCATCACATTTCTCCTCTTCAATTGCTAATAGTGTATGCTTTAGCCTCAGCACTCGCTCTTTCAAATTAAATTGGAATGCACATGCGGTTACTTCTTATATGACCTTCTCACATATGAAATGATCAATATTCTCATTCCCATTTGAATTGATCAATTCAACAGGTCTGAATACTAATCAATTCGAATTTGAATGGGAGAAGGCCATATATGATGCAATTCCAGGTTTATCCCCATTGAATTTTGAAGAGCTGACACTGAAGATAATACAAACATTGTTAACAAGTGAAGAGAAGGAATATGATGATGAAGGAAGCAAAAAAAGCACTCAAAGTTCAAAAACAACTACTCCAAGAGAAAAAGTTGTCCTGAGAAAGTTGTGTGAGAGGCGGATGGGGCCCGAACCGAAACCAGAAGAAGACAATGACGACCAAATGAATAGCACCAATGGAGTTGGAAGTTTGGAACCTTTTTTTATGCCTGAAATGGTTCGGCCACTACATTTCTTGACATGCAAAAGAATATACTTTAGAATATTTCCAATTACTTAATGCTACATTTTATCATTGATTCACAGTAATTCATTGGTGTTCTACACAAACTGCTATACCGTACTAATGTAATGCATTAGTTGTCTACTTAGTCTGATATACATGAACATAGACAAAAATATCTATGTCTTCACATGTTCACATTTTTACTCGGTTTATGGCCTTTAATGGTTGAGAATTCATAATTCTTTGTGCTGAGATGTGCGCTATTGGGCAGTTTGACACACAACATTTTGGACATGTTTTGATTAACATGAGATTTTAAAGGTAAATGGTTGATCAAGAATATTTAAAGTGTTTGGTCACCAACTTTTGTTTACCCCCAAAAGGTTGGATTGCAAAAAAACGTGTTTTGTGTGCCAAAGAGGGTATGTTCTTTTCTTTCTTGGTTGGTCAATCCCTTTTTGCAATGATGTTATGAATTCCTATGATTTTCTTCTTTTTGTGGTGGGTCATGGGTGGATAGCTATTATGAATGCCTTTGTGTACATGTTATTGAGAATTGGAAAGGATGGGTATGAAGGGAGCATTGTTCTGGAAGAAAATCGGTGGAAGCATGCCTGTTGTTGATCTTGAGTAGAAGAATGAGAAGCCGCAGTTTTCATGGTCAGAACATCCGCAAGAACCTCAACATCTGGGCCCACTTCCAGGATTGCTGGTGCACGAATAAAAACAGCGCGGAAAGTTGGGGGACCACCTTCTTCATTAGCAATCTTTGGAATCTCAAGCTCTGTCTCGAAGCTTTGAAGCTGTTTGACAAATGTGATTGGTGAAATACTTAGATGATGTTTTAGAGTTATATGGAGAGTCTGGCAAAGGTTATATAACCGAAGGCTGTATCAACTTGTTCATTTGAAAGTAAAAGCATTTGGCAACATCCTTTCAACGAAATAAGCAAGTCAAGAGCTACTAACTCTTAACGACCAAACGAAGCCTTAGTGAAGTTATGCCATGAAGTTTAAATTCATCCATGATATACATTAAAATAAAATGAATGAAAGATCTTGTTTGAAAAGACATACCAGTACACCACCACCTACATCCCCAAAAAATCATGTTTGCAATGCAATATTACAAACATAACTTTTTTGTACAAAGATAGATGACAACAGTAAATAATAAATCATAAGAAGACAAGTGAACATTAAAGTTTTTATTGCCCTACTAAAACATTACAATAACAGCAATTGTTTACAAGTGTCATCATGCACTCTTCGTATAGACTATAGAATCAGCACACACTATCAACATAATGATGACTGATGTGAATGACAGAATGAGTAAGAAGGCTTTTAAATTACAACAAAAAGGATGCAATACACAAATAAATAGGGAAGTTTTGGTTCAACATAATAATAAACTCCCTCCGTCGCTGATTAATTGTCCCCTTCACTGTTCTAGGCTTCTGATAACTCTTGTTTGCTTAAGCGTTTTCATTCATCATTTGATAAAATAAAATAGGCATGTCACCACTCACTATGTAGAACTTTGATGATGTTTTTAAATAAGTAATCTGTACTTTTTATTTCTATACCAATTTGTAAATAAAATCATTTTAAAAGAGATGAAATTTTGCACGTTGCTTGAAAAAAGGACAATTAATTGGGGACGGAGGGCGTACAACGAATACCAAGGCAGGTATGAATGTGATGGTGTGTCATCATCCCTAAAGACTTCCCAGAGTACTAAAAATATAAGTAAGCTTGTAAGAAGAAGCAATACATCACATCACAACTTAATAAAATTCAGGTAAAGATTTCTATGAACAATGTGGCAACCACTTTTCGGAGCCCAACAAAGTGACAATCATGCATGTCTAGTACACTCAATGAATAGGGTGCTTTACAACATGGACGACTACTTAATTACCTTGGTGAATTTGGATGGACAAAGAGACATGAATCTGCATATTACTAAACACACAGTGAAGCTAATGTAGGTCTGCCGTCAAATTGGTAGTGAGCTAAGGAGCTAGAGACAATATGTTATTTCTTCGACTTCATATACAATCATTGGTTTGCCAATGTGTCTGTGTCAGCACTCAATATATCCGATTCATAAAAGTGATCCATCACATCCAAACCACTATAGTGATGGAGGTATGGAAGTAGTCTTTTAAGAGAACTCTGAGTGTGAGATTTTCAACATAATTATTTCTTCAACTACTCTTTATATGTCAAAAGATGTAACTTTTATTAAGTACGAGTCAGATGTTTCTTCCATGTGCAGCCAACATCCTTTCAACTAGATAATTTTCAAAAGAATAACAAGAACCAAAGTTTGTATATGTGACCTGGCTTCCAAAAAAGTTCCGGTGAACTGTACAATCAAGGCCACCAATCAGTTGCTGCCCTCCAGATTTCTGCCCTGAGAGAATTAAAAATAATAAGAATCCAAACAGATAGCAGAGAATGAATCAGCATGCATCTCACACTTTAGAACTGATCAAAACTATGAACCCAAACTTTAAAAAATTAGAATGCCTTGGTGTAATGTACTACCAACACATTGGAAAGTGGAAACCCGTAAAGGTTAGGGTGGAAAGCAAAAACCCATAATTGTTTGGCTGGGGAATTTCAGAGGGAAGCACTGATTTTTTTTATACTCCGTACTAAATTATCTTTTTTTTTAGTCATAGACTATCAAGGGAGTTGATGTTCATTTATATAACCATAGATTTCTATATAATTTTTTGATCTTCACACTTTTATCAAACCATCTGAATGCAAGAAAAAATTAATAAAATACTCCTAACCATCAACCCTCCCCCTCTTTGCAATCCCAAAACCGAACAGCCTGCAGACGTTCAAAATAACAACGAATGCAACAGGTTTAGTAACAATGAAGCAACAAGCATTCACCTATTGCTTTATCTGCCAGGAAAATAAGGCCAGCACAGGTCCCCCAAACAGGCTTCCCCATTTTCACAAAATCACGCAATGCAGGAAACTGCAATTTCAAGAACAATCAGGCTTCAAAATATCCATCCATTCCAATGAATTGATTCAAAAACATGAAAGTCAAGAACATGTCAATCCAGAAACAAATCCTAGAAGGAGAAGAAGTGCAGCACAATAGAGCGAATATGAATCTCAAATTCGCACGCGGTAACCCTACTATCTTTTTAAAATGAAATTAAGAAACGAATCTTAGAAGGAGAAGAGTAGCACAATAAAGGAGTAAAACTATAAAATGTGAACAGTGTAACCCTACTATCATTTGCAATGAAAGAAGAAGAAGAAGAAGAAGAAGAACTAACCAGGTTATGAAACTCAGCGAGTTTAGCCATAGTGGTGCTTTCACCGCCGGGGATGATGAGGGAGGAGACCGTCGGCAGCTGCTCTGCCTTCCTTATCTCCATTGCCGTCACTCCAAGCCTCTTCAGAGCTGCAGAATAGCATCACAAAAATCCATACTCGGCCAATTGAAGGACAGAAGAGCTTCGATCAAAAGAAAGATACCTGCTATGTGTTCGTTAAAAGATCCCTGCAAGGCTAACACTCCGACTGCCATTTCCTCTTCCTGGTGACTGGTGTCAGTCCTCCCCACATACAAAATGGAATAAAAACCACAGAGTTATAGATTAGTAAACTACGGAGTAATAGACTGGTCCGGCCTATTTGGTCTTAAAAATTTCAAAAAAAAATGAGGTTAGTTGTAAATTGTAAATTTACCAATTTGAAAATTAGTTGGTAATCATAGAAAAGTAGTCACATCAAAAAGTTAAATTTCATAAATTTTTTAAAACATACTCCTATTATAATAAACTCACAATGCCAATTTGAATAAATCATTCCTATTTAATTAAAGGGAGCGTCTAAAATGACACCAGTTACTTATACACCAGTTGCTTACACCAGTTCGTGTGGGACTGCCAGGGTAGGGAGGGGGCTAGGATGGGGGAAAGGGTGGGGCTGGGTGGGGGGTTTAGGGGGAGGGTTAGGGGGTAGGAATGAAGCAACGTAAATACCCCAAACGAATTGGTGTAAGCAAATGACACCAGTAGCATTGGTGTCATTTTAGACTTATCGTTAATTAAAATAAGCAAAATAAATTACGGAGTATTATATTTAAATTAAATAAATCAAAATATTTTTTTTTCTTTCATTAAATTAAAGAACATATATATATCACACAATATTAAATCCAACTCTTGAATTATAAACTAAACTTTACAATTTTTTGTCATGTCATCCACCTCTAATGGATAAAGTAGACTCTTTGGATTTAAACCTACACTCAAAACCCACCATTACAATCACTTTAAGGACTTATTACAAAGTATTTGGATGAATGTAGGGATGGCAATTCAACCCGAACCCGAGCTTAACCGACCACTAAAATATTCGAACCCGAACTGAGAATAAAATAATCCGAACCCGATCCGAAATTTTTTACCCGAACCCGATATCAGGTCGGGTCGGGTGTGGATTTATAATTTTACCCGACCCGACCCGAACCCGCACCCGACTCGACTAAAACCCGAATATTTTATTACATAAAAGCCTATCTATGGATATAATAAGCACTCCGTATAATTTCTTGACAAAGTGCTACTATATCAAGTATGCTTTTTATAATCATTTTTATAATTTCTTAATAAAAAATGAGACATAAAAAAGAGACATGAAAAAATTAGATTTAATCATATCAAAATTATTGGAATACATCGAATTGATTATTGGTTAAAAGTCAGGTTCGGGTCGGGTCGGGTTTTAGCTTGAAAGGTCGGGTTTCGAGTCGGGTTCGGGTTTCGGTTTTAAAAGTCGGTTCGGGTTTCGAGTCGGGTTCGGGTTTCGGTTTTAAAAGTCGGGTCGGGTTCGAGTATAGTACTATCCGACCCAAACCCGACCCGTTGCCATCCGTAGATGAATGTTAAAATAGCCGAGCCGAATTGACGAGTTGATTGGACAAATAAAAATCAAAATCTAAGTTGGTTTTGTCCAACTTTTCAAAAATCTTTTTAAAAATTAGGTTTATTCAGAAAAACATGTAACCAATTGGCCAGTTGGTTTTCTAATTGGTCCAAATTTAATGTAATTGGATATCATTAGTTTCGTTTAGCATTTACGAAGTATGAAGTATCCAAATTATTTATTTATCTTGATAATATTCTTTTTAAGTGCTAAAACTAGTAAAATATTCAATTACTGCATAAGCATTATATTGTTGTTAAATACTCCCTCCGTCCCGAAAAGAATGAGACTGTTTGACCAAAGTGGCAAATTAAGGAATGCCTTTTTGGCTCTTGACCTTCCCAAAATACCCTCAAAAGCAAAAGTTGTAGTGGGGCTCATAAAATAAGCAAATAGTGTATACTAACATTAAAATAAGATTAAAGTACAATTGCATTAAATGTCTTCTCTTACACACTAGCTTACACGGCAGTAATGTCACGCCAAAAACATCCCAAATTTTTTGAGTTTTTTTGGGAAATTGGTTTCCCTCCAATCTGATCCCTCCAAAACAAAAACAAAAACAAAAAACAGAACAACACATCATATTTAAGGCATTCATTGAAACATTTAAAGCTTTCTTTTTTTGGACTTCCTTTCCTCCAGCATGGCAGATTCCCCCATGGTGTCATCCCCCACTTTTTCTTCTAATTCCATTCTCTTTTCAGATGATGATGAATCAGGTTCCTTTAACCATCTTCCTCCTCTAATTGATGTGCCTTTTTCCAGCCTCAGAACTCCTGATACAGAGAGGGACAAGAACAGCAAAGGTGTGCTACAAAATCAAAGAGTAAATTCCATAATTGGTCCTTTATAACAGGAGGATTTCTATATTTAGTCCTCTATTATCAAATTTTTCCCCCATAGTCCCTTTTTTAAGGGTGTCTTTCCACAAATGGTCCTTTTTTTGATCTTCTAGCATGTTGGTATTAATTTAAAGGCTAAAAGTATAATTTGACATCAACATTATGTTTAGTGACATGTTCTGATATTGGTTAAGCGGATAACACAAAAATAATGACTATGGTTGTGTGCTAGGATTCTGACGAAAGACCGCATTTGTAGACTATAGTTATAGTAGAAAGTGACTGTAATTCACAAACGATGGAAACGTAATAGTCTTTGGAATTGTGTATGACAAAAAAGATATATTATCATTGCGAAATTACACTTTTAGCCCTCAAATTAAAACCAACATGATAGAATATCAAAAAAAGGACTATTTGTAGAAAAATACCTATAAAAGAAGGAACACTGGTGTAATATTTGATAATAGAGAACTAAATAGGGAAACTCTCCTGTTATAAAAGACCAATTATGGAATTTACTCAAAATCAAACTAGAAAAAAAGTTTCTGACTTGTTACTACAACATGTAAGGAATGACAAACTTCAGCATGGTAGCATCAATAAAGTTGCTAATGAACTCAGCATATGCAGGCAAAGAGTAAGCAGAATATGGTCCATAGCCAAATCTCAATTGGATGTTGGTCAACCCGTTGATGTTCAATGTCAGTGGAAAGGAAAGTGTGGGAGAAAAAGAACACCTATTGACACAGAAAAGATGGCAGGTCTGCCATTTAATAGGCGAAAGAACATGCATGCACTTAGATATGCCATGGAGGTGTCAAAGTCAACTGTCCACAGATGGCTTCAGTTGAAAGTGATCAGAAGGCATTCCAATGCCATTAAGCCACTTCTAAGTGAAGAAGGTAAACTAAAAAGGCTTAAATTCTGTGTGGACCATGTTGTTGCCCAATCAATCCCCTTGAACCCAACCTTTCATGACTTTTATGATCACATTCATATTGATGAAAAGTGGTTTGAGATCAGCAAAAAGAGCATAACATTCTATGCATTACCAACTGAAGCGGACCCCTATAGGACAGTTCAAAACAAAAGTTTCATACCCAAAATCATGTTTTTAGTAGCTGTTGGCAGGCCAAGGTATAGGGTTGATGGGGAACTTATGTGGGATGGCAAAATAGGAATATTCCCTTTCACTTACTTAGCAGCAGCTCAAAGGGCCAGTAAGAATAGACCTGCAGGGACTATGGAAGTGAAACCAATCCCTAACATCACTAGAGAGGTCATGCTGAGCATGTTACTCACTAAGGTACTGCCTGCAATAAAGGAAAAATGGCCATGTTCATCCAGGAATACTATTATCCAACAGGATAATGCCAAACCACATGTGGATGGAAGTGACCATCAATTTCTGCAAGCAGCTACAGAAGGAGAATGGAACAATAAACTTAAATTCCAGCCCCCAATAGCCCAAATCTTAATGTACTAGATCTTTGGTTCTTTAGGGTCATTGATTCATTGCACGACCAGTCAGGTCCCAAGTCATTGGATGAGTTGATTAGTGCTGTAACAACAGCATTTGAAGAACTATCACATGAAAAGTTGAATAATGTGTTCTTAACCTTACAAGGGGTCATGGGTCAGGTTTTAGCCACCAATGGAGGGAATTAGTTCAAAATTCCTCACATTGGGAAAATCAAACTGGCCAGACAAGGTACACTGCCTCAAAACTTAGGGGTCAGTATTGAAGTCTTTTAGAAGGCACACACATTCTTACAGGAAAGGATGTGAGTACTCTTCTTTTTGTTTCTGTGTGCAAAACATGTTCAGTGGAAAGCACAAATGTTAAATGCACTTCCAAATAAAAACCTTTTTACAACTTTTTTGTAAGCCAAAGAAGAAGAAGTGTAGTACCTAACTGACATAGACTTAAGGCTTGTATGTATTGTGTAGCATCTGTAATATCAAGTTCAAGTAGGACTCTTTTTTGTAGCATCTGTTTTATGAAATTCCAGTAAGCCTAGTGTAGCATCTGTTATATGAAGATCAAGTATGACTCTTAAGGCTTGTATGTATTGTGTAGCATTTGTAATATCAAGTTCAAGTATGAATCTTTTTGTAGCATGTGTTTATCAAGTTGGAGGTCACATAACCTAACAGAGAACACGGGTAGACCAAACACAAAGACCAATTGAGTATTGTAAGTCTCCAACCTATACGGGGTGACATTACAATATAGCTTGAAACACAAATAAAGCTCACATATATCCAATTTGTAAGAAAATTGTAATTTCGCATCATAAGTTTGACAATGAACACGGAAGAGGAACATTCAAATAGCATGCATAATGTAAATTAAAGGAGAAGAGAGAGAATACTTTGTCTAAAGTGTCGTCCCTTAGCCTCATCTCCAAGGGGATGAGAAAAAAATTCAGTATCAGACATCTCTAGGATGCGCTCAGATGTAACAAATTCTTCGTCCTCCCAGTCCTCTTCCTCAGATCTTTCTTTATCCTCCTCCGATGGGAAATGGTATCCCTCAAGATACTTTTTACGGTACCACCATGTTGGATCCGTATCTGAAGATCCTGATCCACTATCTCCAGAGTCGTATTTAGGGATTCGATGCTTCAAAGAAGTTCTGCTTCGCGATGGATTAGGTGTTTCCTCATCCGTATCGTTTAATAGCTTGAAGCTTGGCATCGTAGGGTCACGAATCACCATGACTGGTGATTCCAAATTGATGTGGGAGAGAGGAACAAAAATCAGAGGATAGATCCAGAGAGAGGAATAGCTTGGCGACAGAGAAGAGCTTCGCGAAGAAGTGGGTTGGGTGGGAATCAAGTGGGCGTGGATTGATTAAAGTGGGTTGGGTAGGAATCAATTAGGGC